GGAACTGGTCTGCAGGTATCTCGGTCCGGTTGTGTCTAGCTTGGTTCAGTTCAGTTTGCTTTCCATTTACACACAATAAGTTATCTCAGTTACTGAGCTTGCACCGGTCTCGGCACGTTTTTTCAAGGGTAGTGTAAATGGGGTATATGCTAACATGTATGAGCTGTTGTTTATACAGCTGTTGTTTATTTCACTAAAGTCCGGCATACACTGTATGAGTTTTTGCCCTTTTCGAGCCGATTTTTCAAGTTGTGCGAGAATTTTTTCGATCGGATCGAGTTTCGGCCTCATTGCGCGCCCTGCGTTGTGTAGTGTAAAGGGGCCTCTCACGACCACCTCCTGATCAGGAATTGTAAGGTCGGGAGAAAATGAAATTTTTGAAATTCAGTCAGCCATTGTGAGATGTCCATAGAAAATCCTGCTGTTGAAGCAGAGCCACAAGCATCTATGACCCGATTTACCAGAACCTCATGTAATAAGCATGTGCAAACAAGGGAGTTCTTCTTCCAGATTGACGTGTTCGACTAGCGCCATCTCTCGGTGCATGAGTCCGACCTGTGGCTTTTGGATGTGCAGTGTGAGCAGGTAGATCGCATCAGAGCGTTGGGCTGCACAGTGCGAGAACATACATCGTGAGCTGTGAACTTTTAAACCCTGCGGTTTCATCGTACAGTGTGAGCTGTAGCTGCACACAACGATTGGAAATATCGCACAGTGTATGCCTGGCTTAAGGGTTTAAACAATATTATAAATTTAACGTTCATGTGTTTACTATTATGCTCATTACATTTTGATTACCAAATTAATTTAATCTGAATCTTTATGCCTGCTAGCTGCTAGCTCACTCAAAGAAGGTCAATAATCAATTGACTAAAGATAATTGATTTCTGATTAAGCAAATAATTTAATATAACATTATTCGGTCATATAATGTTTTATTCACCCCTTGAATTTCTATTATGAATTGTTTGAAAACATTCAAATTGCTCTATATGAGTTAAAAGCTAATATTCATGACAAATACAAAATCGATGCTAAACTTTGATATCATTGTACTTTCCCATTGTTTACGGTTTTCAACCATTTTATTTTTATTCTTTTTTATATAGCAGCTAAGTGTAGCTGATTTTCAGTCTAGTGTGTTCTTTTCAGGGCTATTGCTGTTAAGCGTTTGTCATTTTCTTTTTTTCCAGCAAGCTGGATGGAAATTCCTACAAGGACAATAATGCAGTGATGGTGTGAATTAAGAGAATGTTGCTGACACTAGTTGCTGCTGGCAATCTAATGCTGATGTCTACGTAATGCTGTAGTGCAGGTTACCATAAGCAGTCGGATCTTCTGCAGTTTCTCTCGGTCTGAGTTGTACTGATGGTCTATTAACTTGCTTCTCTCCTGGGGACAGAAAAAAAAAGAATTTATAATTATGGATGGGCATGTTTCTGGAAACAACCATACTAATAAAGACGTTAAATATCAGAGCTGTGGATGATTAACCTGCTCCTCCTCTGTGTCCTGTCCTGAAGCTGACTTCAGCTCTTCAATATTCTGCTGCAGACGGGACATCTCTTCCTGTTGACAAAATGAGCTTAATAAAATGAACTGAAAATGTTCTACTGAGGGAAAATGTTCATGTCCTCACCCTGCAGTGTGTGCGGAACTGCAGCTCCTGCTGCCTTAGATTCTCATTCATCATCACCAAAGCCCTGAGGTTCTCTAGCAGGCTGCCGAAGAGACAAAAACATTGCACCAGTCAGAGCTCCTGTGCTTCCTGCAACTGACTGAAGCCCAATTCTCACTTTCCTGTGGATAAAACACTACACTCACAACTGAGAGCTGCTGCCAGCAGCAGCACTTTCAACAGTTTTGTATTTGGCAATTCCCTGCTTCAGCTCCCCTTTAACTGTAGGCCAGGAGGGGAGCACATTACACAAGAGTAATCTGGGTCATTTTTAGGATCCAAGCAGATCCAAACTCGGCCACAATCTCAGGTGTCTTCATGGTGACAAGAAATCTACATGAAGTAATGAAATCAAGATGGCTCACCCACTGTCCGCTTGTTTCTCCATCTCTTCTAATGACTTCATCTCCCTCTCCAGTTTTAATGAGTGTTCTGTAGCCTAAGAACAGACAGAAAGACACTTTTAGCTTTACGCTATTAAAGACATTAAGCAGGAAAAATAATATATTCAGCAAAGACTAAGGTTGTGTCTGAATGTCCGCCCTAATCTCTATATAGGGCAATACATAGTGGCCAGGCCATTTTAGATGAGTTTCCAAACGCTTATTGGATGAAAAAGTAGTGGACTCAAAATGTCCCACAATGCAACTTTAAAAGAAGTGATCATCCATGGTCACTAGACGAGCAGATATATCCCAGAATTCTTTGTGGGGAGAGCTTTCCTCGCAAAGAATCATGGGATTTCATGATGAGCAGAAAAATATAGATGGCTCAGGCACCTTGCGGTTTGGGGTTATTAAGGAAATTTGGGACCCTAGGCAAAAAACAAACATGGGGCCCTCTGAATTGAGAAGACAACACATAAAACAGGACCATTCTACAGAAATTGAATTAAAAATGGACATACATGATTTGTTCTACGTTTTGATCCTCTTCTTGTTTTTTCCTCTCCATGTTTTGTACTCAGCTAACTTTTCATGCTGTCTCTAAAGGAATTAAAGATTTTTTCCAAGCACAAAGCTCACTTAACTGATTGCTCCTTCCTGTGTTTCCAAAAAGGTGACCGCAAAATTAAATAACACAGTCCTCCTTTCTTTGTAGACAAGCCATGATCTGCTTATCTGTTCTCCATTTTTCATTTTAATGAAGTAATAGCTGCATGAATCATGACAGCAGACAAGAAAGAGCAGAGCAGGAAGCGGGGTTACAAATCTACTTGCTCTGTTCAGTGCTTTCTTATGTTGTTGCCAAAGTCTCCTGTAGCAGAAAACAGTCACTAGATTTGGCAGGAGGTGTTTTTTTGAAATAAAAGTGCTAGAGGGGTCTGAGAAGTCTCTAAATAAAGCGACAAAATTGTTAAGTTGGCCACACTGCTCTTCACACTGTTTTCAAATGGTTTGCTGCTTTCTGTTTGGACCTTTCTAAACATGTGTAGCAAAATAATAAAAATATAATGTGCACAAATAAGGAATAGTTGTATTAACCATACCTGTGCACAGAGTTTTATGTGGCCCCAAGGAACTTTGGGCCCTAGGTAACTGGCTAGTATTGTCTAATGGTTGGGTAACCAATGGGGAGCGAAAAGTAGTGATCATCTGTCCGGATGTTTTAAAAACTGCAACTTTCTATTTAAATCTAGTTTAGTCCTTTGTGTTATGTGGAGGAAGGAACTTTGTAGTGGCTTATAAATCTGACAAGCATATTTCTAAGGTGTTTTCGTGCATTAGTCCTTAGAAAATGTATCAGATATTAAACGTCTCCCATGTGTGAATGAAGCCAAAACAGTAGAAAATAAATTTACAGATTTACATCAATTCCCAGAGCTATATTGGCTAAACAACAACAACAAATCAAAAGATGGGGACAGTAAAATGGATGTATGCAGTTACCTCCATGAGACTCCTCTTTGCCTCTTCATTGTGGGCTATCACCTGAGCATGGTTGGCTTTCAGCTGTCAGGACACAAAACATGTCAGCGCAGGTTCTAATAGTGCTGGAGCCACAGCCACCATTACAGAAAGTCCATTGTAGAGGTAGACCGATGCATTGACCGCCCAATGTTTTTGATCAACCTTAAAATTAGTTTCTTCTATTGTATTCACCAACTCATTAGCTCAGAGTGGGGACGTATTTATAGAAAAGAAAATGCATGAATATCTGCTCACTCCATTTGCTATGCAAGTTTTAAAAAAAGGTTTCCCAATTGTAAAATATGACACTTTTGTTATTGTAACATTTTTTAAATCACAAAAAAGAAGTAAGAAAAAGCAATATCTGCTTCAGTAATCAACCACCAAAAACAATAACTGGGGATCAGTTTACTGATGTCCAAAGAATCACTATTGGCCTTTAGAAAAAACTGTATCAATTCAAATCTAGTCCATAGTTAAGGACAGAACTGTTTAAACTTGTAAAGAAAAACAAATGCAATTTTAAAACCATATTAGCAGGTAGGCTCAGCAATCCATAGGCTTTCCAAAAATGAAGACATACAATAATGAGAGAGTAGCTACATTAAAATCTACAGCAGTGCAAGCAGACATGCTGATGGGGAGTAGGTTATTTGGTGGACGATGCTGTAAACATCTGTTCCTGCTACTAAAACATATTTCTTTTCTCAGCTATTTATTTTAAATCAGACGGAGAAACACATGGGTAAGATTTGTGATGGAGTGATATGGAAGAGTAACCAAAAGTAATATGCTGACCTCTTCCAGCTGCTCAATCTTTTGTTGGATCTGTTTGTTCAATGAGGCAACGGCCCGGCGGTGCTGCTGCAATGGACCATATCGCTCTGAGCGCTCCTCTAAAGAAAGCTCCAACTGCTGCAAGGTGATGGACAAATAATTACCAGACAATGTCCACAGCTCCACCAGCACCTGGCCATTAGCTAAATTCTTGTTTTTAATCCATAAACATTTGCAAGGGTTATCTTTTCTAGTAGAACCAGAATACTGGCTGTGTGTAAGATGCATTATCAGCACTGACCTTTTCAGCATACTCAGAAGCAATCAGCTTGATCTCCTTGGACTGGAGCTCAACTATCTGACCCACAGCACTTGCAGTCAGCTTCCCCTGCACCAAAAACAAACTATTCACATCGAAGTTGCACATCCAAACCGTCTTCATTATCACTAAAGTTAAACTGAAACCAACGACTGGGCAAATATCCTTTGTGATAGAGTAAAGAAATAAAATGGCCACCTAACAAAGTGCTAATGTATATACACTAAATTAAACATAATACACAGAATCTGAAGTAAAGGACTTCTTAAATCGTCAGGTGGGCGAATTAAACAAAAAAAAAAAAATTCTAAAACTTTTTTGTAAAGTGTTTATTAGAAAATGTGAGTCTGCTTACCTCTCCAGTTGCCATGGCAGCCATACTGGTCATCAGGTTTTTAATCCGCATCTAAGCAAGAATATCAAACCATATTTTGTATGATATACTTAAACAGTATCCATTATTTTTTTGTATTAAACAGAAGCCAGTTTGGCAAACAAGGTAGTAATAAGATGTCATAAAACTTATTCTTTAGATTGGGCACATAAATTGGTAGATTTCAAGCATTTGTTATGATTGTTGATCAAGGCTTCAGTGTTCTGCTGAGACACAAGGATTCAGATAACGGACTGGACTCATTCAGCTAGAGGTCCAAAGCCCTTTAATTATAATAATTTAAAGTAGAGATGCAAAAAATTCACACCGTTTTAAGCGAGAGCTTCCCACTGTCATCTGCTATTTTTGGTCCACAGCGTTTCTCTAAATACACCGGTACCTTCTCAACTATCAACTATCGTATGTGACAGTGCTTTACTCAAAATGGCATCACTGCAGACTGCCCAGAACCAAATTTAAATACAATATGGAGATTATTGTTTCATGAAAGGAAAGCAATAACAGAGCCAACACTGCAGATGACCTGAAGTGGACTCATAGAACTGGTCCCTCTGAACACCTTAAGGCAAGTTATACACGCGCTTCGGGTTGTCGCGCCCATAGATGCGCTGTATACTTTTATCGTTCGACGTGGACGTAGGTGCAGTACTCGTAAAAAACCACAGAGGGGCAGGGATGATCATAACGAGCAGAAATGCAGGAAGAAAAAAAAAGAAAGATAAGAGGAAAAACAGTATCTTACAAAATGGCAGAGGGCAGTTTTGTTTTGTTATGATTATTGAATAATGATAGGTTTGTTACACAGATATATATGGTGGAATTAAACATTTGCCTGCTGCACAAAGAGATTTGATACTGGGCAAACCAGACCCCCTGTGAATCCCAGACAGATCCTTTTTAAAAAAAATAAATAAATAAATAACATAGGCCTGCATAAAAAAGGCTTGCTAAATAAATGCTGAATGCATTGTATACAACGGGTAGTTGTTTCAGACTTTATCCAGAGTAGCTTTGCCTCGTCTGTTCCTGTTTGGCTGTGACGCCATCCTGGGAAGAAACATCAGCTGTGCTGCTTCCATCAACACCCTTGTTTATAGATGCTGGAGATCGACCTGTTTTCCAGTGTGGTCCCGTTTCTCTGACCATGACTGAGTGGATGTGCTCTCTTTGTCCTCTGGCATGGGAGCTGGCTCGGAGCTCGTCTGCCTGGCTGTGTGTTTTCTGGATGGGGCCATCTTTTAAAGCTGCTTCTTGTATCCCTGCTTCTGTCTCCTTGAACCCTAGTCGGCCTCGGCAGATGGCCGCTCCCACTGAGCCTGGTTCTGCTGGAGGTTTCTTCCTGTTAAAAGGGAGTTTTTCCTCTCCACTGTCGCTACAAGCATGCTTAGTGTGAGGGATTGTACTTGAGTCAATGAGACAATGCAATCAACTGGTTTTCCTTAGATAGAAAACTTTGTATGAATTTGACTGTATGATCTGGTTGAACTGTAAAGTGCCTAGAGATGACATGTGTTGTGAATTTGGCGCTATATAAATAAACTGAATTGAATTTTGTATGTTTTATGACTAAGACTTTGACAGATTTGTCATTTTGTATACACAAGTGTAAAATAATAAAAAAAAAATTGTTAAGAACAGCTCTCTAAACTATTTTATTTTTTTTAAAGTGCAGCCTTGAAAAACAGTAAAAAAAAATATATAAAAACAGTTTTGTTTTTAATGGACTCAGAAAATAAAAATCCTGGTTTTTACCAAAAGCTTGGCAAATAAATTTGCCCTTGTATGCTGTTTTCAATCACTGAATAAACAGTAACAACACTGGTTGAATCACACTGTTCCACTGGAAACTTCTGCACCGTTTGATGTCAGTAAAGGCAAACTTGTTCGCGGATGACAACTTTATATCTTTCCATTTGGTGGAACGAAGCCAGCACGTGCAGTCTGTGCCAAGTTACAAAACTTGGAGGTGCACAACTTAGCAAAGAGTCTGCATTTCGCGCTCCAAGCTCACTGGCCAGGAATGGCAGATTGCGTCATTTTTGGTGTGCGCACCCTTGTGACTCGTATGACGTTGCTAGTATTAAACCAAACTTTAGCAGACCAACAGGCCTCCATGTCACCATTCAGTATTTCAGGCAAAAGGTGCCCCTATAAAGCGCTGGCTAAATTTACTGGACTGTATGAGGACGTTACTCTCTGGCCAACACCAGTCCACATCTTCTGTATAAAAAAACATAACTTATTTGGCCAATGTAAAATCTTTATTACATCAGACCAACCTAAAGTTTTCTGATAAAAAATATGCTGAAAATCAAATATCGTGAATTAAACAAATTCCTGTGTCTGAAGATTCACTTTTTAAATTGAAATGCTTAAGTAGATGATCTTTTTAATGATACTGATATACAGTACAGCTAGACTTGCATAAATGATCACCTCTTCGACTGCTTGCAGCTTTTCTTCCTCCATAGCCTCTGCAATCCCAGCAGGCTTCGTCTGAGACCCACCGACCTTCCCGTCATCTTCCTAATGATAGACAGGTAGGAACTTATCAAACAACATGGCCATAGATGAACATAGAACAATAATTAAATAAATGTGAGGCTACAGTTCTTTCTGTGAAGACTGAAGAAAACAACACTCAAGACTTACATAAAGCAGCAATGGGGAAAAGAGCAAAAGTGCAGAGAAAACTGCACTTAAAATGGATGAAAGATGTCGAAGCAAATGTTATAATGAATTTGTTATGCAACTTTTAACTCAAGTTTCTGCACTAGACTCTGCATTTACTAGTGTCCTTCCAAGTATGATTACAAAAATTTTGAAATGCAAGTAAAATGCTGCAAACCTTTCTTTTTTCTTTCTCTATCCTACCGCAGTACTTAAACAATTCAAAAGTCATCTTCCTTATGAAAGCCAGCTGCTATTTTGAATACACAACAGGTAAATTATAAAGAATGTTTTCCATTACCAGGACTCCATTGTTCTGTGCAAACTATGCAGATGTATATATTGTAAAACACCTTAGTACCATAATGTTACCATAATGAGCTGGAATTCCGAACATCTCAGACCTGCTCACACTACAAAGCTTTATTTAGGATGTGTTTACTGAGACACCAGGTAACTAATCCTGACACTTACCTTGTTTTGTTTACTCGGCTTACTGAGGCCATAACGCCTGGTGATAAAATAACAAGACAAAAAAAGGTCATTTACTGTGGAAAACTATGTCAAAACTATACCAATAACATATCCACACTAAACTGTTAAAAGGAAGAGGTTCCATCCACCATGCCTTTATGAATAAAACATATTCATATATATGTTTTATAAGTGAAGCACTTTTTCTGACCACAACACTCCACCACATAACACATATCCACAAAACAAGCAGCAATAACCGGGGGCGTGCAGAGAAAGCTCACACAGTTCCTGTACTCACAGAATAGTGATGGACAGATGAAAGAGGAATTTGACCAACAATAAAAAGAGAAACGGTTGTTGTGAGATGGTTCAAAACAACAGCCACACAATGCATTTTAAAACAAACTAAGACAGCATATGATTATACCGAGTTAGATTAAGATCAGATGGATTGGGGAAACCTGGAAGGTAAAGTTTTAATATTCTAGCAGATAGGTGACTTCTACAGTGTAGCTCTTTTTATATGCCCTTCAAAAAAACTCAAAAACTGTTATAAATCTAGAAAATGGAAAACAGATGATGGTCTTTTTTTTATACGTTATGAGCTGAATGTCAGCCAACCTGCTGACATTCTGACCATGTTGAATAGCTGCTGCTCAAGGCTTAGGCCACCCATGCCCATAAAATGGCACTTAGAAAGACATGTAGCAAAATGGAAAAGAGCGCATTAAGTGGATTGAAATATTTATATGAAGAAAATAATTTGCTAAAATGAACCTTTTCTTGCCAACAGCATGATACAGTTATGAATACAAGGTTCTTGTTGGCCTGTTTTAGAGTGGAGGGCCACTAAGTCCAAATTTGTCTCTGCTGCACTAAAATTCAGGTTGCTGCACTCAATATTTAGCAGCATATCACCCTTTGACTGATAACCAGGGTTGGCCAGGCAGTGGCCTGAGGGATGGCAAAAAATGAAAGGAAGCTAAACTAGTTTAGGGTCACTCTACATTAATCTCTGTACCAAGTAGAAATAAAGCTGAACAAGCTGTATTGTCTACAAAAGTAAAAGAGACTGACTTGATTTTCACGAAGCCCTTGTTATTAAATCTATACATATATGTGGTGATGGATTCATAAGGCGTTATGAAGCTTTTCTACACATTTGCAAACTGTATTGTAATTGACACTGTCACTGAATTCTGACACCTGCTGGGCATTTAAAATTCCTACAGGCATTTTCTTTGAAAGACTTAACTTGACACCGATTTGATGAGCTATAATATGATTTAAGCCAATTTTTGCTTTAATTTATTATTAAATAGTTATAGTTTGAATTGAAAATATGTTTTATATTTTTTAAACGCAATCAATTAATGTGAACATACAAAAAGGACAATTTAAGTGAACATGTAAGTAAGGATTTTTATGGATTAGGATTTATTTATATAAATTTTTTTTCCAACATAACTGATAAGGAATTTGTGAATTTGGGGAAAATGAGGAGAGGGAAAAAAAGGGAGAACCACAAAGTGAGCAATATGTAATTACTGAGAATCTCCAGCAATATTAGTTTAAAGTAAGGCATCAATTTAGAACTCTTATTTTCTTTCCTATTGTTCTTTCATTATTTACCAGATACTTTTTTTTGCGGGTTTTAAAGAATATAATTTAAATTCTGACAGTTTGCCATTCCAAAGAGCAGCAGGGATAAAAACCCAAATTAGCAACCCCATGCCTATTTTCCCTACCAGGAAGGACAATTGTCATTTACCCCTACGAAGTTTGTGCCGCGCAAAGCCTGAAGTAGATGTATGCCATATGAAATATTTCTAGGTAAAAGCCTGCTTCAAATCACCACTATTTTTAGATATTTTTATAAAAAATAACTAGTTATTACTTATTTTACACAGAAAAAACCTTTCCTATTGCTGGCAAAAATATAAATATAACATTGCTTATTGAAGAGATCATGCTACTTCTAATATGTTAATTTTTATTTTATTCATCGTTGGAGAGCAAAATCTTAAATGGAAATCTGAAAAACAGGTTTATTAACCGTATACTTCTTGTAAATAATATTAGTCCTGAGCAGGGAACACGGGTTCGTGTATTAGGTTTAAACACCCTGCAGTGTCAGGGAAGTTAACAGGTGATGCTGGAACCTTTCTAACTTGTAGATGCATAACTTTGTATGTCATTGCAATGACAGACAGACATTTAATGTGTAACAATGGTATGGCCTTAACAATTCTAACTATTGCTGAACAGCAGGGAGATTTAGCTGAAACCTCATAATAACAAATTTTTGAACAGCAGAACATGGGCCTGATTTTTTGTCTTTCAATTAGGGCTAAAACAATCAGATCAATCGTGATTAATTAATTGATGAATTAATTATCAACTAATTTAGTAATCAACTAATCGTTAAATGGAGTATAGAGACTCTAAAACATGAGCAACCCACTTAAGAGCAGTAATTATGCCAAGACAAAAAATATGTAAATATTTTGCATTTAAGATTAAAAATATATATATATTGTCTTTCAATATGCTCTATTCAGAACTCCTCAAGTGGAAAACTTTTAGTTTCACCTGGTTTCATTTCGTAAAAAGTCTTCTTTAAGGAATCTTTGGCTATCCGATTATGAATCGGAAAAATAATCGACAGATTAAAAAATTTTTTAAAATAAAGTTGCAGCCTTATTTCAATAAATATTATGATTCACTTGTGCTTTGAAGGAAAAAAAGACAAGCCATAAGGTCAGACCCTGTTACCTGAAGAGAAATATTACCTGCCATATTCAAGCAGAGTGGAGTGGACCCTGGATTCCTCATCCAGGAGGATCCCTGCCTCCCTCTGCCTTCGGTACTTTCTCTCAGGTTTGTACACCTCCTGCAGATAAATCATTAAAAGTTGGTTAAATAATTAACCTTTACTATTCCAGTGACAGCTCTAAAAATCTCACATATTGTTGATCACAGTGTAGCAGCTCACCAGTACATCCAGAACTGCTTTTACAGCTTTGTCTTTTCTCTGGAGAAATTCTTTATCCTGATCAGGGTGTAACAAAACACAAGAACACAAGAAACACCAGAAAATGTTCAGCTCAAGCACGAAGAATATAAAACAAAAATGGTAAAAGGAGAACACTTGCCTACTTCTACCTTATTTAGTAATGGATATTTTTTAATTAATACTGTAATACATAACTTCCTCATTTAAAAAAATCCTAAATTCAATTCAAGAGAATTTCATCTTTTGTACAACCAAATCTTTGAAACACAATTAACATTTGTCAAAAGAACAAACAGCCACTAAAACAGAGCAGCTGCCCACCCAGGCTAGAGCTGCTGACATCGGATTCTCCGGGTTACGTCACAGTATCAGAGGACAAAACTCTACAACAATGTATTCAGTAATCCAATTTAAACCTGAGGATGGCACCAACATGAAGGCTTAAAGCAAAAAAAACAGGAAAGCAACAAATGTGCAGGATAATGTTAAATTATTTCCAGGTCTTGTAGACAGCACAATGAGACAACCACGTTTACAGATTATTAAAGGAAAAGTCCGGTCACATTCAGAACACAAACTTGTGAAAGTACTTTAAGTATGAAATTATTACTTACAGTTCAATAAATGATGTGTTTTTAATTAAGAGTAATTTTCATTTGAATGTGCTTTACTGGAGGCATCCATGTTTGTCAAAGAACACTACTGCCACCTACCAGTTTGTGATGTCACAATGTGGTATTGGCTGTTGATCAAGTCCCAGTGCTGTATCTGGTGTTTGTCAAAACGCACTATTATCATGATGGCAATGACCAGTGTACTGTGCGAAGCAGAGAGTAACAGATTAATGACGAGTTTTTTCTCTGGCCAGAAGCTCGAT